ATATGATTGATGCAAGTGTGTTTCCCGTGTCATCCTTTCGTATCGCTTTCTTGTTTGGACAAAATTTCAGGCTAAAAATCGGGGCAGCCGAAGTCCTCTAAAACTTCTGGAACTAGTTTCATTACTCCCAACCTTCCCAGAATTCCATGAATATTCAATGCTTCGAAAAAGTTTTTATCATAGTGTCCCGTTTATTTCGCCAGCCGTTTCAAATATTTATAGCGTGTTAAAGCAGACTAACGCTTATTTTGTTCAAACCCAAACCAAGGATTTTCAAACAGAGTTCTTGGAATGTCGATAACGTCAGTTCCGCCATCACCCAGCGCTTGCCCTTTTGGAGCAAGTGAGACCGTCAAGTCACGTTCACACTATTGATGGGTCGTAGTCTCGCACATATCTGTTTTCGATCAGTACTCACATAGTACTATATTCGTTACGAGATTACCAGTTATGTTGATACGGTCATTCTTTTTACCTACGTCCGGATTTCTGTGCCCGTTACAAAAAGCCTCAAGGGCTGTCATGCCATTGTTATCGCTACTATACGTCAGGGCGAGCCTTTTTTTGTCAGAGTCATAATACCCATGACTTTCACTCGTTAGCAAGCAAAAGCGGTGCAATCAAACTATTCCATGTTCAGTTGTTTACCCCGCGATCTGCAACTTTTCAACATGAATTGAGCACACCTTAACCACCTTTTTACTACCCTTTTACTTGACAAATGGTCACCATCCATGTCCTCCGCACCAGGCCTGGTCATCTGCTGCATCGGCTGAGAACGCTGCATAGTAGTCTGAATGCAGTAAATTTAGCATAAAAAAAGTTTACTTCACCTTCATTGCCACTTATTTTTTTCATTATCGTACCATTAAGGACTGAGCCGCCGTATGAGTACCATAGTAATTCAATGAGCCCAGTGAGTGGCATTTGTGAGCAGAGTGCTGTGCAGATTGATTAGGCTAGCTTAACTCGTTTGGTGATTGTGCTGGTGTATATTTTACTGATTTTGGAGAATCATTTTTGCATAATTATAGCTCTGGTTTCACGCGGATGAGCTTCTTGAGTGAGTGAGTTTACTGCACACGATTCTTCCGAATATTCAACTACACCATACAATATGTGCAGTAGTATATATAAATTATCGCAAAAGGACCAAACAAAAATGTCAGTATTGCCAAAGTTATTGCTGAGCCTATGTCTCCCAGTTCGAGTCCAATGGTGTTTGATGATCCTTATAAATAGTTCTATATCTGGTAGGTTAATATGGGAGAACCATTTGTGAATGTACGTATCGTGTCCGAGTAAGGTATTCCATTTGATGTGGTAGGTAATATTGTCTGGCAATACGGAGAACTTACCCCTAATGCCACATAAGCGGACGTCTTTCAGTGACTAGCGATTTTTGGAATACGGTAGAAACCAATTGTTTTCCTTTGTTGTTTCACAGGAAGAGGAGAATTCTCGGGATTCACATATGACTGTTTCCATGGCATCAATGATGGATGTACAATTACCTGAGAAATCAGCACCTTGGGAGCAATTGAAACATCAGAGAGCTGCGTGAACTTGATTCAAGTTGTTATATCAAAGCTGTTGATTCTTTCATTACTTTCTATCTATTTCTGTTATCTTCAAAGTCAGCTCTTCTTCCTCAAATGCGCTACTACTGTTCTCTCTGTGCGACTGATGCCGGATAGAAAAACTACGGGCTCGAGTCCCGTGCGAGGGCAAAATTTTGTTCGTAACTCTCCAACCTTGAAAGAAGGATTTTAATCGTTGTAGGGGGTTTTTCATTTGGTATTTCGTGTGGGGCATATTTACATTCAGGCCGCATTTTTGCATTCTCATTGTTCAAGCCATTTCATGCCAGCTATACTGGAATTTGTACGTATCCTGTTTTCTTGAAGAATGTTAGAACTTTCCGGTATGGAAGGTTCGTCCGATGTCTCTGCCGACAAGAAGCACTACTCCCCATTGGGTAAGGGTACATTGGTGCATCCGGACATCCACGCGGCGAATTCATGGCGATTTCGACGACTCTGGCATAATCACAAAGACGTAGAGCATATTCACAAAACACCGACAGGCCCAGAGTTGAAACTGCTCATAAGCAAGCACATTGATTTAATCGATTTAAGGAAAACGTGATAGTGGTTATTCGCCGAGTGCATCTCTGGACGCGCCGGTGTTCTGCCCCACCCCCCCTCACAAATGGATAGCTTCTGATTTGCCCTATGTTTTAGTTTCTAGTCGCCTTTCGTGTGTCTTGCATCCTTCTGTAGTAACTACATGAGCCGGTTATTTTCTTGGAGAAATTTCTGCTTCTAGCTGATTTTGTGAGATATGTTATATGTTCCAATAGCTTGTCGATGGAACAC